CAGTTTTTGTTGAAGAGGCTGCTATTTCTCCATCGTATATTTTTAGTGCCTTTGTCAAAGACAAGTTGGTTATAGTTTTGTGGCTTCATATCTGGTCCTCTATTCTGTTCCACTGGTCTTCATGTCTGTTTTTGTGCCAGTACCATGCTTTTTTATTGTTATTGCTTTGTAATATAGTTTGAAGTCAGGTATTGTGATACCTCCTGCATTGTTCTTTTGACTGAGTATTGCCTTGGCTATTCGTGGCCTCTTGTGTTTCCATATAAATTTAACAGTAGATTTTTCAATCTCTTTAATGAATGTCATTGGAATTTTGATGGGAATTGCATTAAACATGTAGATTACTTTTGGGAGTATCGACATTTTTACTATGTTGATTCTACCAATCCATGAGCATGGGAGATCTCTCCACTTTCTATAGTCTTCCTCAATCTCTTTCTTCAGAAGTTTATAGTTTTCCTTGTAGAGGTCTTTCACATCTTTTGTTAGGTTTACACCTAGGTATTTGATTTTTTTTGAGGCTATTGTAAATGGAATTGTTTTCATACATTCTTTTTCAGTTTGCTCATTGTTAGTGTATAGAAATGCTAATGATTTTTCTATGTTGATTTTATATCCTGCTACCTTGCTATAGCTATTGATGATGTCTAGAAGCTTCTGAGTAGAGTTTTTTGGGTCTTTAAGGTATAGGATCATGTCATCTGCAAATAGGGATATTTTGACAGTTTCTTTACCTATTTGTATTCTTTTATTCCTTCTTCTTGCCTAATTGCTCTGGCTAGGAATTCCAGTACTATGTTGAATAGGAGTGGAGATAGTGGGCATCCTTGTCTGGTTCCTGATTTTAGAGGGAATGGTTTCAGTTTTTCTCCATTAAGTATAATGCTGGCTGTAGGTTTGTCATATATAGCTTTTATAATGTTGAGGAACTTTCCTTCTATTCCTAGTTTTCTTAGAGCTTTTATCATGAAATGATGTTGGATCTTATCAAAAGCTTTTTCTGCATCTATTGAGATGATCAAGTTGTTTTTGTCTTGTTTCCCCATTTTTTCTGTCTTCCCATCATCGTCTTTGGTGTTGTTACTTTCCCTGTACTGTGTGCAATTAAGTATTTTCTAGCTTGTAATAATAACAATGGCAATATTTAGAATGGAAGGGTGAGCTGAGATGGAAAGCAAGAAGTTAAAGAAATGGGAAAAACAAATACACAGACCGGAGGGAGAAAACAGAACAAGGTGTCAGACAAGAAGATTTCAAAGGTATAAACAGGGACGTTTAGTGTACTAATTGACAGTAAGCTGAGCAGACATTAGCTAGACAGAGAGAGGATTGAAAATCTAAAACTAAAAAAAAAGGTAAGAATAAAAATAAAGAATAAGTAAATGAAAGAAAAATCTATTTATAATAATGTATTAAATAAAATGAAAAAATAGAAAATTAAAAAACTAAAAAACTAAAAAACCTCCAAGTTCAAATGCAGTGAAGTTTCAGTCTCCAATCCTGGAGATGGTGCCTCAGATGTTGTTTTGTAGTTGTCTCATCAAAGGGGATGCATAAAGAAGAACAAAACTACACACACATGCACAAAAAAAACCCCACCAAGTGTCCCAAGTTCAAATGCAATACAGTTTCAGTAAGTTTTTCAGCTTGCAGGTGTAATTCGGTTGTTCTGTCATCAAAGGTAGGGAGACAAAAAATAAAAGAGTCTGGAGACAGTTCTGAGAATGGTATCTGCAGCTGTGGCTTGCCTGCCCACTGCTGTCAGCCTGCTGTTGCTGGAGGCTTTATTTATGCAGATCTCTGGGGTGAGCTTAGCAGTTACCTGGCTCTGCAGGCTTTGTTTGCTCAGATTTCTCCTGTGCGTGAGCCTCTGCTACAAGCTTTCCCCTTTCCAAGCACTGGGAAAGTTGACACTGCACCCACGTTCTCAGGCCTGCGTGTTTATTTATAGTTCATGTGGGAGGTGGGTCTTCTCCCCTCTCCTGTGCAGTTCTCCTTCCACCTCCGCTTTCACGAGCTTTCCTGCTCCTGATTACTGGGCGGTGCTGCTGCTCCTGCCAGCCACCATGTTTGTTTATAGTTCACATGGGAATTGGGTCTTCCCTCCTCTCCTGTGGAGTTTTCCTCCCTCCGCCACTCTCACAAGCTTTCCCGCTCCTGGTTGCTGGGTGTGCACCCCCGCTCCCGCCAGAGGCTCTCTGGCCCACCTGGCTTGTTTATTTACAGTCCCGGGAACAATTCCCTTCCTCCCATCTTCGGCGCTCAGGGCGCCCACCCTCTTTCCTGTGTGTCTTATTTGTTCTTATTGCTTATTACTCAGTTTCTCTTTTTTTCCCCTGGGTGGAGGTCAGTCTGTCCAGGGGGCTATGCTACTCTGGCCCAGGCTTGTCTGTGGGAGTACTGCGGTACTGCGAAGCTCACCTGGTCCATGTCTTCCCAAGCCATCTGGGCGCTGGTGACTGGCGGCCCCGGTGCCCTCCTGGTTTCTCCGTTTAACGTGAGGTGGAGATTCTCTGCGCCGGCTGGAGGTGTGGAGGGGTCACAGTTATGCCTTTTCTCAGTGATTATGCCTGCAAAGTGTGTCTCCGGCGTCTCTCCAAGATTTCACTATAGGAGGCTCGCTTTCTGCTTCCTCCCTCTAGCTGCCATCTTGGAATCCTCTTAAGCATATTCTCAATGCATGCAGTGTGCTAGTAGGATATCTTTTGGTATATTTTTACAGATCTGGCATGGATAGAACACAGGTTGGTATCTTTAACAAGACCCATTAGGTAGGCCTATTTGCTTCCTGCAAAATACCAATTGCTGTGCTCTGGAAGGGCAGATCTGTTTTTTGAAGTCCTGAGAAATTTCTCATACTAGACTCTGGAAGGGAAGTTTGAAAATCAGAAGTTCAGTTAGACTTCAGATAACATCTAATTTTACTGAATTCCTTAGTACAAGCTCTGTACCAACCAGATTTTTTCACCTCTCCAGTAGAGGGCACACTCTTGCGACCAGCTTTTGTGGTCAGTTATTTTCTGGATGTTTTACCACCTGTGGATTTGAGGGCTGATGGTATAGAGACCTTGTTACTTTTCCCCTTTCTCCCTAGGCTGGAGTTCAGTGAGCTAGAGGTGGCACTGGTGTTGGAGAGTGACAGGGTCCACTACTAGTGCAGTACTACTAATACTATTACTAGTTACTATTGTACCATTGCTTCTTCCACTTTCACTATCACTCTTATTGGTTCCTTTTTTGAGTGTCTAGTGTTTTTCCCTGGATGGTATATTTGACTGCCACCATAAACCATCCACTGTCAATCAACTTAATCACAGGTCCACTGGGAGGTTATGTAACAGAGCTTCAGAGTTTAGTCCTGAGGCTAAACTCTGCTTGAGTGTGAAGTCAGATTTTACTCACTGTGTTGTAGGGGAATCAACAGGTTAATGTATGGAAAATACTTAGATTAGGGCTTAAAGCATAGCAGGCATTCAAATATTAACACACTCTCGGTGTCTCTATCTCTTTCTTTTCTTTGAGTGATGTATACATCACTCAGTATCCATGTGTTCCACATCTGTGTATTCAACCAAGCATGGATTGAAAAATATACAGAAAGCATTATATACTTACTTAGCATATGGACTTTTTCTTTGTCATAATTCCCTAACCAATATAGTATAATGGATATTTACATGACATTTACACTGCATTAGGTATTATAGATAACCTAGAGTTGACTTAAAGTATATGAGAAAGTTTGTGCAAGTGTAAAGGACTTGATCATCTGCAGATTTTGAGTACATGTTTGTCCTAGAACCAATCCTCCATTACTGAGAGAAGACCATATATGATTTGTAGGGGTTATTCCAAACTTACTTGGCCTCAGATGGGAACTAATTCAAGGAACTGGAGAATCCAGAAAACCCCAAACAGAGAAACTCCTTCTCATTGAGTTTTTTATATTCTTCCAAATATGGAGAAAATAATTTTCTTATATGAACAATGAAATCAAATTAAATCTCTGCATAACTAGTAGACCTACACTCATGGAAAAGCAAGTTTGTTGGGAACAGCCAGAACCATAAAGAAATAAAAGGAATTTACCAACAGAGATAGCTGTGTTGGACAAATCCACTGTAAGTGCCCCTGCTCCCCAGGGAGTAATCATCTGGAGACAAGAGCCTGTGATATACCTCCTTGAGATGATGGTAAATAAATAATACCCAATGTGGGGTTGCAAGGGATAATTCATTTAGGTGAAGAAACAGATTTTTACAGGAGATATGGGTTCAGATAGAAGAGAGTAAGGGGGGAATTTGAAGTGTGGTGATAAAAACAGACAGTGGACTGCGAAATGGAGTCTTTCCTCAATGCCAATCTGCTGAGGTACAGTTAAAAATCAAGGAGATACTGATAGATTAGGTGACTGGGACTGGAAAGAGAAAAGAATTGATGTGATATCATTGGACTCAAATTTGCCAGGCTCTTGCATAGCTGAGATAGAGATGGTATAGCAAAAGGAAATGTCCTTCAGCATTTCCTTAGCAAATTGTGTAGTAGCCATAAAGGGAAGCTAATGGAGTAGACATTTCTTTGCTATAATTTACCTCAACTGTACATAGTGGATTATTTTAAATTCTGCCATATACTAGAAACAAGAGTTATATACTTGTATCACTTTAAGGATGTTAGTTGTTGAGTGTGAGTGAGTGCAACATTTGGCTAGAGAATGGGCTCTACAGCCAGGAAGACTCCAACCCATGTGATGCTAAGCAAGTTGGTTTCCATGCTGAGATATTGTTTCCTCATTTTGTAGCACAGGGACAGTGCAATAGGCACATAGTATTGCAATGAATTAATAAATAATTGATTAAATAACTTGTGTGCTTGATATACATTAAGTGCCCAAAAAAGGATGTTTGTGATTTTGTAACCATAGGTTATTTGAGAGGAAAGATTTTTTTTTTGCCATGTAGGTCTCCAGCTATGTGTAGAAATATGTTTCTACTCATGAACTAGAAAAACACTTTCTTCTCCATCACTTTCCTCAGGGCATCCTTGATCTCTTTGTTCCTCAAACTATAAACGAGAGGGTTCAGCATGGGAATGACTAGAGAATAAAACACAGAAACTCCCTTGTCCCTGCTAAGTGAGTAGCTGGAGCTGGGTCGCAGGTACATGAAAAGAGCTGTCCCAAACAACAGAGTCACCATCATCAGGTGCGAGGCACATGTATTGAAGGCTTTCCATCGACCTTCCACAGATTGGATCTTCAAGACAGCAGACACTATGTAACTGTAGGAGATTAGGAGGATGAGAAATGATGTCCCTCCAACAGCAACCACCACAAAGAAATTTACTACTTGACTGAGGAAGGTGTTAGAGCAAGAAAGTGCCAGGATTGGTGGGAGGTCACAGAAGAAGTGGTTGATGATATTTGGTCCACAGAAGTGGAGCTGAAATATGGAGATGGCCTGGATCAGGGCACTTAGGAAGCCACCAACATATGCCCCAGCCACCAAGCAAGTACAGAAGCCTTGGGACATGATGGTAGTATAGAGGAGGGGACTGGAGATGGCTGCATATCGGTCATATGCCATAGCTGTCAGAAGAAGACACTCAGTTAGACCCATGCCAACGAAGAAGAAAAATTGAACAGCACAGCCCAGGAATGATATGGTCTTCCATTTCTGGAAGAAGTCAACAAGCATCTTGGGAGCCACAGCAGAAGAGTAGCAGATGTCAATGAAGGACAAGTTGCTGAGGAAGAAGTACATGGGTGTGTGCAGACAGGTGTCACTTCTTATCAGACAGATGAGGGCCAGGTTCCAGGCCAGGGTCACAAGATAGATGCCAAGGAAAGTCACAAAGAGGATGACTTGGAGTTGTGGATGGTCTGCAAATCCCAGGAAGATAAACAGTGTCACTGATGAGCTATTCCAGGACTTGGCTATGGACAAGTTTCTCATGGACCACAAGGATACAGACAGACCTGGGATGATAACAATAATCCACATTACAAATGGTATCAATAAATAATTACAAATGCATGAAGGGGTGGGCAGAGGATTATAGAAGGTTAAATTTTACACAAATCTCTCTCAGTGATTGCAGACACTGTCTTAAGTATTTGGGCAGGAAAATGTAGTTGAGATTATTTTAACCTTTGGATTCAGAATTTCCAGCACTGTTTCTCCAGCATTTACTAGAAGACTAGAGAAAGTGGAGGACATCTTAGAAATAGCAGCAAAGGTCATTCTGATGGGGTCTCAAATGGAAATGAACACTATCTTATCTGAAATTGGAGTAAAGGCCATCATCATGACATAGTTGTAAAGAATTTAGTTGTATTGTGTCTACGACCTAGGGCTGTATGAAAGGTGGACTAGTATATTTGACAGAAGAAATTTAGAAATGCAATGTAGAAGGGGCTGCTTATTTACTTTTAACTGATTATGCTGAGTTTTTAGAACAAAGGAGTAACCTAAAGACAGAATTCATAATTAAAAAAGAAGCACAATGTAAAAATTTGGAAAATTAACAGTCTGGTCATATAAAGAGTGAAAAAGTGTTCAGGAGTCTAGTCAAGAGATTAACATGAATATAAGGAAGCCAGTTGCTAATTTTCAAGATGGCAAGAAAAAAGTCCCCAAAGGCACCTCACAGATTTTTGGGGTTGCGCACTCCATCACAGGGCCTGAGCTGTAGGACAGCAGAATGGTTTCAGGGGTCGGTGAGTGAGCTCACTGTCCAGGACTACTCTCACATTCTGCTGCATGCATTTGGGTGCAGTGCTTATTGACTACTCCAGCCATGGCCGAGTGTGCTTCAGTGAAACAGGGCTACAGCTCTGGAGAGCATAATCAGCAAGTCTTGGTAATGTTGATGTTCACAGGTGTTAATTCTTCAGATGTGTGTACAACAGAAGGGCTATAGTGGCATGTCTTTAAAAGAATGTACTTAACTGCCAGAGAGCTCACACACAAACCTGCCATTGTAGAGTAGCTGTTCCAGGGAATCTCTACCAGAGTAATACCTAGTGGAACCATAGGAGTGGACCACTGCCCTCAGGACCTCAGAACTTCACATCCAATGTCAGCATGCAACATACACTTGGAAAAGCTGAAGGTATCCTACTACAACCCAGGAGAGCAGCCATACGACTGAGTCCAGCAAAGCCATGAGACTTGACCCTCACTTTAGTGTGTCCAGCACATGGAGTGAAAGGTTATTCTAGAGTTTGAAGAGTTAGTGTCTGGTCTGTTGATATTTGGATTTTTTGGTGCAGTTACTCCTTTTGTTTGGAGTGGGAATGTTTCCTTGTGCTTGTCCCACCATTGTTTACTAGAAATAGATAACTTGTTTGATTTTACAGGCTTGCGGCTGGAAGGGGATGGACTTTGGACACTTGAGTTGATACTGGAATGAGTTAATATTTTGAGACAACTCAGATGAAATAATTGTATTTTGCATGTAAGAGGGGTATGAGTTTTGGGGTCTAGGGCTAGAATGCTGTGGTTTGATGTGATCTGTTCCCTCTGAAGCTCATGTTAAAATTTGGTTGCCAAGATAGTGTGCTGGAAGGCAGAGCCTTTGTCAGGGATTAATGTCTTTTTTGTGAAGCTGAATCAGTTCTCACAGGAATGGGTTAGTTCTGGCAAAAGTGGGCTTTTATATAGCAGGTCATCTCTGTTGTCTCTTTCCTCTCTTCTGCACATGTCTCCTTGCCCTTCTATTTATTTCCACCATGATATGGTGCAGCATGAAACCCTCACTGGAAGTGGCTGCCCAATCTTGGACTCACAGTTTGTAGAACTTTGAGCTAAATAAACTTCTTTTTGATAGAAATTACTCAGTCTCATTATCTCTGTTATAGCAACAAAAATGGACTAAGACAAACCCCATGATGCAGGTGTAATCTGCACCAGGCCCATTTTACATTGTTGAAGAGGAGAGTCTGTAAGTCCCAGTGAACTTACTGGATTCACAAATTCCAGAGCAAAAATGTCATTTTTTTTCTTTTACAAAATTGGAGAACAAGAGGGCAAAATAGCTCCTGTCTGTGGAGTGGGGGTGGTACCAGTGGAAGGAGGAGGATGTAGGAAAAGGGTGTGAGAGGGTGAATATGATGTAAATACTGTGTACACATGTATGTAAATGGAAAAATGAGACCTGTTGAAACTACTCCAGTAATGGTGGATGTCAGAGATAAGGGAGAATGTTGGAGGGGGTGAATTCAACTATGATATATTTGATATAGTGTAAGAAATTTTGTAAACGCCACAATGTACCCCCAGCACAATATTAAAAAATAAATAAAATGAAAAACACATACAAAACCCCTCAAATGCCAGAGTTGTATCTTTGTGAATATCACTAATCTTGAAGGGTGTGAAGATTCAAGACTACAGTATAATTAAGCACTTAGCACAGTACCTTGCACATAGAAGACACTCAGTTTTTGATGGGGACTTGTAGGTTTGATTTCTTATTCAGATCCATTAAATACCTGCAAGAAAGTGTTAAGCATTATCATCAAATTTGTGTCATTTGCACTTAACTTATAAGGTTGGGGATGGAGGAAAACATGGAGATATGTGGAGATCCTCAGTCAGACTGTGGAGTTGGAAGTATTTTGTGATTTCTCCACCAATTCTTATCTGAGCTCTGTCCTTAACTCCATGATACCTGATCCTCTTACCATTGCAGGTGCCTGCTGTTCTCAGAGTCTTGCTCTTTCAGGTTTCTTTCATCTAAATGTAGAAATGATTGATGAAACTGAAAGAGATTTTCCCAGTATAAGGAGATAGTTCAAAAGGAGCCAAAACTTTAACTAACAATTGATATTCAGATGGTAAAATTCAGAACACCAATCAAAAAAGAGAAGGAGGGCTTGGGAGTCAGAGGTCTCTGCTGTGCTGGGAAAATCTGCAGTATGACCTCGGCTTGATTACAGTCCTTCCAAATTACTTTTAGACTACTTACTAATAACTGCCGGTGTGTTTAAGGGCATAAAAATTCTTTCAGAAATTTCATTCTTTTTTAATTCTCTTCCTAATTGTATGGGGTCAAATATGTTTTAGAAGCCCATTAAAAGAGAGTAAAGCAAAACCAAAACTGGGCAGTGGCTTTTTAATGTCTTACTCTATAGCATATCTCATTATCAGATTATCATGATAAGAAAATTTCCCTCCTTGGAATAAACTTGGTTTTTGAATAGTTTGTCTTTTTATTTGTTTAACCATAGCATTTAAAAACATGCTGAGTTTGCTTTTCACAGAATTTCTAATGAACAATGAACACATTGATAAAGTTAAAATTTCAAGTCATGTTTTAAAGGTTTTCTGACACCTTTAAAAATGCTACTGAATATTTAAAAATCAGTTACAAGTTGAAGAAAACGTGTTTCTTTTACCTCTCTTGGTAATATGGTTCATTTAAGACATGATATAGAACAGTGCTTAACTTCCATGCACATATCAATTAGTAAGGATTGCAATGAGGAAATTATTCAACTACTCAGGTGATAAATCTAGAGCATAAAATTATCAGAGCTCATAATAGAACTTAATGTGAATTTTGAATTTCTGTGTATTATCTTGAATTTCCTCAATTTTGGGTTAAATTAAATAAAGCTCAAATGCGAAAAATAAAAACAATGTGATTTTTAAAAGATTTTGCAAAAATATTCAATCTGTAAGTTCAATTTTGCCATATTCTATTTAAGAACATAAATGAGGGCTGGTAGAGTAGGCACAAGCAGTAGGGAGCACCTGCCTAGCTAGCATGAAGCCCTGAGTTTAAACCCTAGTACTGCCAAAAAGAGAGAACTTAAATGATAGTTGGGAACACTTGAAGACAAAAATATACATTAGATATTTTAAAAAGAACAATGCTTAAAAAGAAATTAGATATAAGCCATGAAAATATCTGAAGGAACCTTTAATATGTATTGATAAATAAAGAAACTTATCTGAAAAGATTACATACTATACAGTTTCAAATATATGACATTCTTAAAAAGAATGGAAACTTAAACTATGGAAATAGTAAACAGATAAGTGATTTTAGAAGATTAGGAAGAGGGAAGAGTGAATAGGCAGAGCATACAGGATTTTAGGGCCATGAAATTATTCTGCTAATTATTGTAATTATTGTAACAGTGGATACATGTCATTGTATATTTGTCCTATATTATACAAGGCCCAATGCCAAGAGTGAACTCAAATAAACCATGTACTTTGGGTGATATTGCTCTGTAAAGTGGGTCCATTAACTGTAACACACTGGAAGAGGATGTTGATAATGGGGTATGCAGGGGGTTTGTGGAAATTTTATGTACCTTCTGCCCAGTGTTTCTATGAACCTAAAACTGTTCTAAAAATAGTCTATTTCCTTAAAAACTACAAAACCCCCCGAACATACTGGGTTGAATTTGAGGAAGACAGAGATAAGTAAAAGATACAAGGAGAAAAAAGACAATCCAAAGACTGCTGGGCCCTCTTTATGGGCTTGTATGTCTAGGGTGCTCTATACAGTGAGACTGATCTCAGTGGGAAGACAAAGAGTGAAAGATGAGTGACTACACTTACCCTCTCCTCCTGTTCTGTCTGCCCTTAGCTGACACCGGTCACAAGCTATCCTGTTTCAGAAAGACTTTAATAAAATTTCAGTGGCTGCTTCCAATTCCCAAAGTGCTAATGAGTTTGGAGAGGGAACTCCAGGCTGGTTTTCAAGGAGCAAATTAAATACTTGCTGCATAGAACATGCAATTGTGGTGAAAGAATGGAGGAAAAATACATACAAAGGAAGGAGGAAGATTGTAATCATTAAGAAGCTCCTCTGATATTCACTAACATCTCCATTGGGGTCAGTTTTGGAAGAGTGTTCAGGCTAAATATGGAGAGTTTTTTTTCTTTCATCCTTGGAGATATTTCATAACATTTACCCTGGAGGATCTTTATGAAAA